GCTAGGTAAGTTAGGTTAGGTTTGATAAAATTTCAATGTTAGTTTCGAATAAAATGGAAAAAATTCAAAGCAAATAAAAGGTAATGGAAAGATTTATCATTCCATAAGATTTTTTTTAAATGTAGTACCTATATTTAAAAAAAAATGGCTTGTTAGACAGTGTACTATATGTACTTTCACAACCCAATGTACCTTTTTTATAAATAAATAAATAAATAAAAAATTATATATATATATATATATATATATATATATATATATATATATATATATATATATATATATATATATATATATATATATATATATATATATATATATGTGTCGTACCTAGTAGCCAGAACGCACTTCTCAGCCAACTATACAAGGCCCGATTTGCCTAATAAGCCAAGTTTTCATGAATTAATTGTTTTTCGACAACCTAACCTACCTAACCTAACCTAACCTAACTTTTTTGGCTATCTAACCTAACCTAACCTATAAAGATAGGTTAGGTTAGGTTAGGTAGGGTTGGTTAGGTTCGGTCATATATCTACGTCAATTTTAACTCCAATAAAAAAAAATTGACCTCATACATAATGAAATGGGTAGCTTTATCATTTGGTAAGAAAAAAATTAGAGAAAATATATTAATTCAGGAAAATTTGGCTTATTAGGCAAATCGGGCCTTGCATAGTAGGCTGAGAAGTGCGTTCTGGCTACTAGGTACGACATATATATATATATATATATATATATATATATATATATATATATATATATATATATATATATATATATATATATATATATATATATGTGTGTGTGTGTGTGTGTGTGTGTGTGTGTGTGTGTGTGTGTGTGTGTGTGGGTGGGTGTAAATCACGAAAATTAACACGTGATGAAAAATGTGACAGTGTCAGAACCACGGAGGATTCATTCCTTCTGAAGATGTATTAATATATGAAAGTACAGTATTTAAAGAAATTCCTGTTTTAATTCTTTCTCCGTGCTCTGACACTGTCATATATATGTGTATATATGTGTGTGTGTGTGTGGGAAGGGGGGGGATACAGTGTGTGTAAGCACACACTACATCAATGTGCTCCAAAAAAAATCAATTGCCTAAGTATTGCAGAAGAAGTGATGAGCATGAGTGGCATCCCAGGAAACACAAGGGTATAGTGACTGAAAAGAACTGTGCAAATGCAAGTGAAAAAATTTGGATAAGTTGATATTCAATACAATAGCAGATGACAACAACAAAGACAGCCAATAGCATGAGGAAGGACAACACAAAAGAGATTGATTTTGATGGCTTTAGATGAAAAAATTATTTGCATGCAAGGTTTGCACAACTTGGCAAAAATAGAGAACATTGTAAAATACCATTTGGAAATAATTAGGAATTTGACAAGCAGTGATGAAAACTATAGTAGCAAGGTCAAATAAAGGAATTATGCAAAGATAAGGAATTTTAGGATGCTAAGTCTTGAAGGAAAATAATATATTAAAAATAGTTTTTGAACAAGTTCAATCAAATCTACATGTAAATGAATATGATAAATTTGGCAAGGAAATTATACAGGAAAAAAATGCCTTAGTCAGAAAAGATGGCCAGGGAGAAAGATATATTAGAAGTTGTTAAGAAACCCAAAAACTGCAGCCATCAGAAAAGTGCAGACATTAGACAGGAAGTCAGAAAGAAACTGGCATCAAACCCAAAGCTGGTACTGTACATAACTCCACTTGATGCAAGTTGCTGATAATTTTCACTGATAAAGAAAAGGAAATGACGTAAATGGAATGGTTGAAAAACTAAATTTCAAGAAAAGGAGATTTTAGGGTAACAGCAAATTTAAATAAATTTGACTGGAAATTACTGCACCTGCCTGGGCTCTTTTCTTGTTAGGCAAGGAAATAAATAAGATATATGCCCAATTTTGAATGATATATGATGAAGGCACAACAAAATATTTTTACCCAAAAGATATGCAAAATTAGAAAATATTTGTTCAACCTGAAATTGTGAGAGTTGCCAGAGATAAAAAAAAAACAAAGAAATGGAATCAATATAGAAGGAAGCCTAACCCTCAAACACCAGCAATACTGTACAAACAAGCAAGAAATAACTACACGGCAGTGAAAAGAGAGGCAGAAAGAAACTTTGTATAAGGGGTAGCAGACAAATATCCAACAAAAACAGAACCAGGCCTTTTCTATAAATAAGGTAAAACAGAACCCAGGTAAAACAGAACCAGGCCTTTTCTATAAATTTATTAAAAGCAAGCTGCACATGATAAAATTTACAGAGACTGAAAATGGGGAATAGATTCAAAGAGAATGAAAATGAAAAGGAAATGATGGAAACACTAAATGAACAGTTCCAAAGTGTATTTGTCCAAAATGAGGATTTCAAAGAACCAAACACAATGCTAATTTCAGAGAACACCGTACCATCCCATAGTCAATCTCAAGACAGTCATAAGATGAAGTAGAAAAATTACTCAAAGAAATAAGAAGAAACTATGCAGATGACCCAGATTGAGTTTCACCTTGGGTAATAAGAGAATGCACACCTGGTTGATACATGGTTGATGGGGTTCTGAGAGTTCTTCTACTCCCCAAGCCCGGCCCGAGGCCAGGCTTGACTTGTGAGAGTTTGGTCCACCAGGCTGTTGCTTGGAGCGGCCCGCAGGCCCACATACCCACCACAGTCCGGTTGGTCCGGAACGTCTTTTAGAAAACAGTCTAGTTTTCTCTTGAAGATGTCCATGGTTGTTCCGGCAATATTTCTGATGCTCGCTGGGAGGACGTTGAACAGCCGTGGACCTCTGATGTTTATACAGTGTTCTCTGATTGTGCCTATGGCACCTCTGCTCTTCACTGGTTCTATTCTGCATTTTCTTCCATATTGTTCACTCCAGTACGTTGTTATTTTACTGTGTAGATTAGGGACCTGGCCTTCCAGTATTTTCCATGTGTATATTATTTGGTATCTCTCTCGTCTCCTTTCTAGTGAGTACATTTGGAGAGCTTTGAGACAATCCCAATAATTTAGGTGCTTTATCGCGTCTAAGCTCCACCTGAGCTTAGCATTCTGCTTCAACTTATTTTTTGGACATCGTAATGTACAGAAAAAGGGCAAATATAGTTTCAATCAAAAAATGGTAGCAGAGAAGACCCTCTAAATTTTAGACCCTTATCTGATAAGTGTGGTAGTTAAAACACTAGAAAAAATATTTAAAGCCAAATGGGTAAAATACCTTGAGAGAAATGATTCAATAACAAACAGTATGGCTTTTAAACAGGAAGATCATACTTAGCTTTTATTTTGCAGGTAAGAGATGGTTGTTTTCACTGTATTTATTTGGACCTAAGAAAAAAGGCTTTTGACAGTGTCCCAAATAAGAGGTTGTTCGAGAAACTGTGAACATGCTGTAGGGGTGACAGGAAGACTGCTGATATGAATGAAAAAAATTCTAACAGATAGAAAAATGAGGACAGGAGTAAGAGGCAATGCATCAGACTGGAGAAGTGTTACTAGTGGAATATCACACGGTTCAGTTCTTGCACCAGTAATGTTCATCATCAATTAACAATTAACATCATCAACAAATTGAATCCACCATGAGGAATACAGAACTAAACTAATAGGGAAGATAAGAGACTAAGTTCATTGTGAATAAATGTCATGTTATGGAATGTGGAACATGAGAAAGTTGGTTACACACAACCTACACATTATGTGAAAAGGCATTAAAGAACTCTAACAAAGAAGGAGATTTAGGGGGTTGTTCTGAAAAGTAGACTGTCACAGGAGAAACACATAAAGGACATTGTGCGAAGTGCGTATCCTACACTTTCCAACTTCAGAATCACTTTTTAAATACATTGATGGTTAAATATTGAATTAATTGTTCACAACTTTTGTGAGAAAATTGGAATATGCACCAGTTGTATGGTAACCATGTCTCAAGAAGCACATCAATAAACTGAAAAAGGTGGAAAGACGTGCTACGAATTGACTTCCGGAACTAGAAAACAAACAGTTATGAAAGGCTAGAGGAGTTAAATATGCCAAAGTTAGAAGATAGAAGAAAAAACTAGCAATATAATCACTACTTGCAAAAGTGTAACAAGAATTGACAAAATTTACAAAGAGGAATTCTGAAACCTGCAACTTCAAGAACAAGAGGTCATTGATTCAAGCTAAGGAAATAAAGGTATCTACAAAGGATTGAAAATACTCATTTGTAAGCAGAGTGGTAGACAATTTGAACAAGTTAAGTGAGTAGACAGTGGATGTCAAAACTATTAGTAATTTCAAAGTGTCATATGACAGAGTACTGGAAAAATGGGACACCACAAGCATAGCTTTCATCCTGTAACTACACTTAGGCAAATACATTAGAAGGGATACCTGGCAGTGATTGGATCTGTCTGTCTGTCTGTCTGTCTGTCTCTCTTTCTCTCAGAGCATGCAATATTATGAACAGCTGAAAAATGCTCTGGACAAGCAAACAAATAATACCATCTTAGACTTCATGGAAGTTGCTGGTGTTCACAAAGGAAACTATTGTAGCTCTATTTAAAGGAGGACAATGAGCCCAATCCCAACCTGCCTATGACACCTACCACCCAACTTGTGTATGTACACACATGCACACACACACAATATATATATATATATATATATATATATATATATATATATATATATATATATATATATATATATATATATATATATATATATATATATATATATATATATATATATATATATATATATATATATATATATATATATATATATATATATATATATATATATATATATATATATATATATATATATATATATATATAATATATATATATATATATATATATATATATATATATATATATATATATATATATATATATATATATATATATATATATATTATATATATATATATATATATATATATATATATATATATATATATATATATATATATATAATATATATATATATATATATATTTCTGAATACAGCAGTTAGTAAACCTGTAAGTTAAACTATCACAAAACTTTTCAACATTTCCTGAGGTCAACTGTATTGCCAAGGAAAACTTGCAATAATATAAAAGTATGTTTTTATTTCAATAATGCATACTGCATCAAATTAAAAAGAAATGAGAGAGCTCGCCAATAAACCTTGGTTGTACTGGCAGATGATGAGAATTAATTGATTACAAAACTATAGCATCACATACAATTAAAATTTCTAGATTTATTCACATTGATATCACCAAGGCATTATCTGCTCAATCAAAATACTGAAAATAACCATCTATCACCATGAGGTAGGGATCTTGTGTACAGATCTAAGGTGCCGTTTTAAAATTTCCCGTTGGTTGAAGGAAAGTGGACAGTGAGGACACTCATATGGTCTTTCCCCAGTGTGAGTTCTTTCATGACGAACAACTTTGGAGGGTGTGGCAAACCACTTGCCACAGAACTGGCATGCATACTGCTTTCTTCCATCAATGAGTAGCTGGTACTCAATGGGATCCACCTGCTGTTGATCTTGCTGAAGTTGCTGTGGTTGCTGGTGTTGCTGCTGCTGTTGACGGTTGAACAAGGAGGCCCCACTCCCTCCCTGACCACCACTACCACCACTCCCTGGGCTTACCTACAATAGAGAGAAATCAACACAATGAGCAATTTAAGCCGGCACTTTCATTTACTTCGAAACATTTTCATATTTATTAGAATTTTTACTTATGCTTTTAAAACAAGTGCCTCAAAAGAATGGTACAAAACCAAACTACTTTAATTATAGTTTCACATTGTAGATAATCTACTAAGTGCTCAAGATACTGGTGGTGGTGGTGGTAGTGGTGGTGAAAATAAGACAGCTGTACTATCACCTAAACAATCCAGGTGCATGAGACAAAGGGTTTTCATGGTGTAGCAGTTGCAGCAAACTCTGGATGCTTCATCTTGATGTGTCGATAAACATTGCCACTCTGGGCACTACGGAAGGAGCAATGAGGGCACGCAAATGGCTTCTCCCCAGTGTGAGTACGAAGGTGTCGCCCTAAGTCCACAGGACGTAGGAAGAAGCGGCCACACTGGGGACATGATTGACCACCCTCAATGACAGCACGCCTGCCCTGTAACACCCCCGAGAGTTGTGCAGTATGGCCGTGGGCAGGTGTCAGGCGTGTCAGCAGATGGGAAAGAGTGGCGTTGGACGGGACCCCAGCCTGCAGGAAAGACAAGTCAGGCTTCAGCACCAGCATCTACACAGTTTTATGCCAAAACAGAAGATAATGACCCTAAAGTTGAGTTATGCTGATGAACTCTTTAGGATCAGAATAATACATGTAATCAGTAGGCCACTCTGCAGCTACAGAGTCATCTCTACAGTGCAACAAATACACTACACCTCAGAGGCTGGTGTTTGGAGGGGGAAGGCGATCAGAGTGTCGAGCTTGCATATGCTTGGTGACGTTCCCCTTCAGTGCAGCACGATATGGACAAAACATACAAGTAAATGGCCTCTCTCCTGTATGAGTGAGAAGATGCTTCTTCAGGTTATATGCTCGGTTGAAGAGTTTACCACAAATGTTGCATGGGTGCAACTGGGAACTGCCCATTGGTCGCGGAAGACCCTCCTCCACAGGCACGCCCACAGCCACCGCCCTAACCTGCCAAGGAACACTGTGTCAGTTCCTGCTCACACCTCGTAATTAACTCTGTAACAGTATGTCATATATCTACTTTGTTTAAACAGTAAATCTCTTTTTCAGTAAGAACCAATTTCTACCAACTGTACATAAGTGGTACACATTTATTAGCAGTAACTGATAAAATATGAGACAGCTGCACAGGCTGTATAAGGCTTTATACTCAGGAATAAACAAGCACCTGCATGGAAAAGCCCCTTTTCTATAGAAGTACATTGTGTTGTTGTCTACCCCAATCACATCTGACTCAATGTGAAGAGGAATAATGGCCACTAATAAGTTTAGTCTATAATACAAAGTCTTCAAATAAATAATGTTTTAGCTGGCAGTCAGCAAGGAAAAACAAGCTTGAAGATTCAACATTAGCAAAAGAATAATTAATGGATGCATATATGGTACTGTAATTGAATACCGTAATACACAACTTTAAAAATTCGCCTAGAAAAAAGCAGCAGATATAAAAAAATGAATAAAGTTGATGTGAGAGTAGAGATGTTATAGACAAAAAGAGGACAGAAGGACGAAGCATAAAAACTATACAGTACTACTGTACATAATTTTTCTGAGAAATAATATTTTATGCAAATTTTAGTAACTCTGTGGCTACACCTCTTAAAGCTGTAAATTACACAAGAAAAAATATTCCAAACTGAATAACAATTTGCAACTAAACTTTAAAAAACAAAAATTAAAAACTTTTTTGTTACTTTCTAGTGGGTCCTCTTTATATCTCTCTGAGCTACCTACCAGGAGGACTCCACACCCAGGTACCACACTTGGGTGTGGAGGCCAGGTGTAGCTCTAGTAAATCATGACTGCCTACAGCAGGCAAGGTCCAGAATTTGGCCCCCTCAATGGGGACATAGAGGAAGATACAAGATCAATCACATTAATGAAGGGAAAACCACAAGAAAGATTGAGTTCACTGAAACAAGCAACTACCTGGACAACATTAGCCACCCTAATTCAAACTTTGTACACAGAACTGGGAGTCATGCAGACAGCACAGCTAGGCACCTTTGTGCAGGAAAGACTGAAGTAGCTGCCTGGGATTCTTAGTTTGCCATGGCTGCCATCTGGTGGTGGCAAGGGTGTGAAGCTAAATAGAGGTTGGACCCAGACAATGAGTGTGTACATAGTTCAAATTAGGGTTGCAAATGTTGTCAAGCAGTTGCTTGTTTTGGTGCACTCTACCTTTGTGGTGGTTTTCCCTTCAGTAATGTGGTTGATCTTGTAACTCTCACTTCCTCCTGCCTCTATTGAGAGGGCCAGATTCTGCTCCTGACCTCAGGTAGGTGTTTGTGATTCCTTAGAGTTGGGTGTGGTACTTGGGTAAGAGTGTCTCCAGGTAGGTAGCTCAGCAAGAAACACAAGGGACCCACCAGAAAGAGGTGTTTTGTTACATTCAATACTGAAGTTTTCCATCCTAAAAATTAGTTAGCTTAAAAAAGTATTAACTAACTGGATCAATATTTGTTGCTGGTAGGTTACTGGTCATGTGAGCAATAAAAGAATTACATTAACAATTCCACACTTTCTCAATAAACTGTATTTGCTAACACTTTAGTTTGAAAAGGAGAATGCTTTTTCATGAAAAATATATAAATGATAATTTGAAAACTGTACAATAAACAATTGACTGCAGTCTCAAATGCTTTATACATTAACTAGTTTGATACAGATACTGTATACACTATATTCCTACAGTTATTTACTTATTACAAAAAATGGTCAGACTAGGTCAAGAAAGATGGATATAGTCAGACTGATGAACATCCCATTCCCCCATACGTGCTGTATTGTATACTGTAATTTCTAAGCTACGCACCAAAAAGAGTGTCAACATTCTACACATCAGTACTGTACCTTTCATTTGTCGTACATGATCATTTCACCACGAGTCATTTTTTCCTCTATAATAAAACAACTTGGATGGGTTCGGGAAACTGAAATATCCACTTGAGAAACTACAAACATGTGATAAGTGACAGGAATGGCCACTATCAATGTACCATACACAGTACTGTACCAGTATTATTTTTGTATAATTTTATATATACTGTACTGTATATTGTTTTTTGTATTAATAAACTGTATTTCTTTAAAATTTCAAATTTTTAATGAAATAGCTTGGATGGGCTGAAAGATTGAGGTGTGTGTGAGGAACTAAAAACAGACAACAGATGATCACCGGCAGTCAAAGCAGCTACAGTAGCAATATAATGTACATCAGTACAGTTAGTTCACACTCCATCAGAAGGAGTCAAATCTGGTTAGTGTCTAATGGTTTGCTATTGATGGGGACAGGAAGCCTGTTAATCTTATCAAGGGGTCCCAAGGCCAACAACTGCTCTTAACCAAAATGCAACCCACAACAGTTGCCTAACTCCTGGATACCTTTTAGCTGCTAGGTGAACAGAGACAGCAGGTATAAAGTAACACAGCACTCAAATGCCTTAGCCTGCCCAGGAACTTAACCCAGGACCATTTAGTTATGAGTCAACTGTGCTTACCACTGCACTACAAGTTCAGTGGTCAGGCAATCTAGATTTGTTGTGCCAATAATACAAAAGCTATTAATAATGGTAAATTGTATAAATAATGTACTGTTTGCACTATGCAGAGGCAAGTGCCTCTGCATAGTCACAGTTTTCATTTTAATTTTCACTATTAAAAATATGTAGCCAAATATAGACAAAGATGGATGTACCAGGTCAGTCCAGAACCAATAATTTTGACAGTATTTTGGTGTCTTAGCCTTAAAATGAACTACTGTATTTCACTTCTCTGATGTAAATGCTGCAAGGCATCATAAAGTTCATGAATAAGTTCTCTGTAATTCAAGATCCCAGTAAATATTTCAAAACCTATATTAATTCTGCAAATCTTCCTCTTTATAATAGTCCAATCTATCCCATTTGTTATCTTCTTTTCCATCTCAAGTAGCACAATTTACTGCATACTCTACATCAACAAACTGGGAAAGGTGCAAAGACATACAACTAAATGGCTTCCAGAACTGAAAGACAAAGAGCATGAGGAGAGGTTAGAGGCATTAAATATGCTAACGCTAAAAGATAGAAGAAAAAGAGGGGATATGATCACTGCATACAAAATAGTAACAGGAATCAACAGAATTGATAAGGAAGAATTCCCGAGACCTGGAACCTCAAAAACGAGAGGTCATATATTTACGCTAACTAAACAAAGTTGCCAAAGTAATATAATAAAATTCACTTTTGCAAACAGCGTGGTAGATAATTGAAACAAGTTGAGTGAGGTGGTGGAGGAGGCCTATATGAAGTGTTATATGATAGTGCTGAGAAGATGGGACACCATGAGCGTAGCCCTCATCCTGTAACTATACTTAGGTAATTACCCTAGTACATGGACACTTTTTCTAAATGGATTTAGTACAGAGCTGTATTTAAAATGGCAGACTTCATCCTCTGCCTTGGTAAGAACTTAAATAGTGCCATCTTGTATTCATTTTGCTTTTATGTACAGCATGCAGGTTCTGTACTGTACATAAATGCCTCAATCATCATATTGAGGAACTCGATTGTCTGCTTGTCTTCCATTCTAGCACTATTTGTTGCCCAATCAGTACAGTGCCCTCACTATAAAAGTTTTTATTCATTTCTGATTACTTGTTGGTTTTTAAGCAACCTGATCAATTCTGCCTTTATTCTAGCACAATCTTCTCATTCATGTATTATTAGGTGCTACATAATGTATATGGTAAATTATAATTTTTCTACTTGGCACCGAGATCTTCACTGCAGTAATTTCTACATTGTGTTGCAGTACACAACATTATTGGCTCATGTGGTATTTTGTACCAAGATGGATACTTTATGTGTTGTGAGACAGGCTTATGAGCATGTTCATAATTCATGTGGTATGTATGAACTGTGCTTATGAGCACTAAGATACATAGGCAAATGGATATCAAATCTGCTGATATAAGGTTGTGACGGTGACTGAAAAATGTCTCTTGGGACACAATGTTTCATATATATGCACACAAGTCTCACACACAAATTCTTTACTTCATTGCATAAAAAATACAGTAATTGTTTTTAAAAAAAGCTAAACAAGGCAATGACACATTTGGAATACTAGGCATGTTGAATATAAATTGTTTATAATATTTAAGAATAAATTAACCAAATTCCATGGAGTGCTCTTTAAAATCCAGATCCAGTAATGCAAACTGTGACATTGGAGTCCCACTGATGACACACATACAACATTAAAGTACAGATAATACAGTCTTTGGCATCATCTCATTCCTGGTTTAATAGCAATGTTATCTTTCTGCAGAAAAGGAGTTAATCAATAAGATTTATTTAACGAGGAAGCTAATTATTATAAGTGAAGACCAGTGTGTGCTGTACTCTCTATAAATGACATAAAAACATAGCTCTGAACTTTGGTTGTCCTTAGTTAATGTCTCTTGCTCCTTTATCATGTGTACCACTTCTCTCAACCTAAAATATTATATTTTTTAATAAATGACTTCTATACATTATTGTATATATATATGCTAA